GGTGAGGCCCTTGTGACCTGGATCCAGAGATGCACCCGCCACATTCCCAAACCACGCGGCTGTGCTTTTCCGCAAGGTTGCGCTGAACACGGCCGCATCTCTTGCCCTGCTGTGCCTCAGTCCAGCGTCAGGGCCTGGGTTTTTCCCCTGCCTGCCATTCCCAGGAGCCTGGGACGGCTGCCTGGCCACATGGTAGGGGCTCACTCCAGAGCTAAGCGAATGACCGAGGTCAAGTGTCTAACCCTTACAGCGCCGCGACGGACCACACACTTTTCCACATCATTCAGCCACAGCGAGGTTCTTCTCACTGCAGTGATCTCTGACTCACAACGCGCGCGCGCCCCTGCCGTGTCCTCCTCCCAATCCAGCGCCTAGCTCCCTATCCCCAGTAGCCCCCAGCTTTTGGCCGACGACAACCGGTGCTCCACATCCAGAGTTAGGCACTGAGCCCCACGTGCGGAGGGTGAGCCGCGGAGAGGCTTTCTATTTATAGTAGAGACGGGGTCTCGCTCTTGCTCAGGCTGGTTTTGAACTCCTGACCTTGAGCAATCCGCCCACCTCGGCCTCCCAAGAGCTAGGATTACAGGCGTGAGCCACCGCGCCCGGCCTAAGATCTGCTTTTTTAATGTATAAAAACAATAAAACATAATAATAAGTAATACACACTCTGAATTCAGACAAGATAGGTTCAACACTGGCTTGATCACAAGGTAGTGTTTTGATGTTGACAAAAATGTTACTTGGTCTCTTCAATTCCATTTCCTTATCTAAAATTGGGGATGATGATAAATTGACATATTAAGAATTAAATGAGATGATTCTTGAGAAGGAGTTAGAATGGTCCTAACATAGGTATTAGCAGCTAATATTAGTAAGTAGTAGTAGCATTGTAGCATAATAAAATACTATTTGCACAAAGAGGGACAATAAGATCTTCATGATAATCATTTAAGAACTATCAAATGTAGGAAGGAAGAGGCAATAAAGTTATAATGTTATGATGAATTTTGATGATTAGGCCAGAATCCATCGAGGATGTCTCCTCCTTGAAAAGAGGAACAGAGACTCATGTCTTTAGAATCACAAGAGACTGATCACTTCTTGGCCTTTTGGCTAAGATCAAGTGTGGAATTACAGGAGGCTGAGTGTAAAAAAAAAAAAAAAAGAAAGAAGTAAAAGTAAAATTAACAAAATTAGTAATACATTTTCTTTAATTCAGTATACCAAAACTATGGTTATATTATGTCAGCATGTAATCAATATAAAACTTTTAATGAAATATATTCTTTTTTCCTACTAAGTCTTTAAAATTCGGTTTGAATTTTACACTTAAAATACATCTCCATTGGAACCAGTCACCTTTTAAGTGCTCAATAGCCATGTGTAGCAGGTGGCTACTATACTGGCTAGCACAGGTCTAAGGATTTCATTCCTGGCTCAAGTTCAGGTTCCTAGCCTTCATATTCAGTTTCTCACAAACTGGCCTCTCTTTATCATTCTTTTTCTTAATACTTCCCCAAGCACGATTGTACCCTCACACTCAAGACCACTTGCCCTTCCCCCACACACCTCTGTTCAAGCTGTTCCTTTTACCTGGAATTCTCTCTGCACCCGTCTCCCTGGGCCTGGTAGAGAGATACAGATTCTTCTAGAGGCTCTTCCTGACTCCCCTAACCCCAGAAGGGATTCACCATTCCTTAGCTCTGTATTCCTGGCTGGATTGGAGCAACTATCACAGCAGGTTTCATTGTTTCTGAGGGATGTCCCTGGCTAACATGGTGTCTTCTTCATCTTTGTTGCAGTCCTGTCCTGCACCTAATAGATGATCAGAAGATATTTGCAGACAGAATGAGTAAGCCACTGATCAGCTGTATTCAGTCTCTTAATTCTTTTTTTATTTTTAAATAGAGACAGAGTCTTGCTCTGTTTCCCAGAAGGAGTGCAGTGGCATCACAGCTCACTGTAGCTTCAAACTCCTGGGTTCAAGTGGTCCTTCTGCCTCAGCCTCTCAAAGCTGAGACTACAGGTGCATGCTACCATGCCTGGCTACTTTTTGTCATTTTTTGTGAGGATAGGTTCTTGCTGTGTTGCCCACGCTGGTCTCAAACTCCTGTCCTCAAGTGATCCTCCTGCTTCTGCTTTGGCCTCCCAAAGTGCTGGGATTACAGGTGTGATCTTGGCTGTGCCTGGCCAAGTCTCTTAGCTCTTGAACAGACTTGCTATTTCCTTGTTTAGGAGACTTGTGCCCTCTCCCATGTGTACCTGCACAAACACACACATTCAGATGTGGTAACTAACAAGGAATTCATTCCCAGATGTGCGCAGAAAGTATCTTCTATCTTTTCCCACCTTCTATCCTTTCCCGTCTTAGACCTGGGAGGCCCCAGCCACAGACTAAGTCAGGAATGGCAGCAGATCTGCATCAGTATAAATACAAAGGAAGGCAGGGGAAAGAAAGTTCCTAAAAGGTATATGGTCTCAGTGGGTCAGGTGCCTGAGGTGGGTGGGGACCAGCTGGCCATGCTTTGGTTATTTGACAGGAGGGAAGAGAAGTGGGGAGGGGAGGAGTAACTCTTGGGCCCTGATGAGCATTCAGGGCAGGGGCAAGTCTGGGACTCTGAGGGTGTCCCGCTGGGAGCGTGAGTGCAGAGGAGGAACTGGCTGCTGGAGAGAGAGCTGAAGAACAGAATGGTCATCTCAGAGCACGGAAAGTGCTGGCCTCGGGAGGGTAGGAGAGAACCAGGAAGGTAGAAGGATGGGCTGGAGAAGCCAGCAGGAGGAACAGGAGTAGGCTCCAGCTTGGTGAACATGTTGGTGTGATATATTCATCTAATATATACCTTATTATCTTTGGGAATAACCAGTTCTTAGCAGTGTCAGTTCTTAGTCTGGGGATGGGAAATGAAAGAACCAGAGTTTTAGAGAGGGCAAACAACTTACCCAAGGTCACGCAGCACTTTAAGCTCAAATGAAGCCTCCTAGGCCCTTCCTGCCATACTTAGCCAGCCCCACCCACACCTCCAGTGCAACCAAGGGTCCCAGTGTGGTGCCTGGGGAGCAGGTCTGGGTACGGTGCCAGGCCTCACTAATGTGTTGTTATGGTCTTCTGGTGAGGCACCGTGATTAGGCCTAATTATAGGGGCCTGATACCTTAATCCCCTGCCTGGCCTGAGTCCTGCCAATCAAATCAGCGCCATGTGCAGGCGATTGCTGCTGTAATGGCATCAGGGAGGCAAGTTAATTAGATCCGAGATAAATAGACTCTGCCCTGGCCTTGCAATTTGAGGAGCGTCTTTACTTCCTGTCTTCCGCCCCCACGTGCACCCTCTCCCTCCTGGCCCTTAGCTCCAGCCTGTCTGAGCAGAGCCGGGACATTCCATTAGTTGGAGTCACTGGCCACCGCCTAGAATGTGTCAGGAGCAGGCCCCGAGTTCCTGGGGGTTCCAGTGGGAAGACCCAAGTGTGCACATTTTCTGTGCTTTTCCAGATCCGGCACCATTTGGCGGTTGATTCAGGCAGTGCCCTCCCCCTCCCCCAACCAGCCCTCACCCTCCCCCAACCAGCCCTCACTTCCAGCCTTTTCTTCACTCTGCGCCCAGGGTTTCTTTCCTGTTCCTCCACATGTGGGGAGTTGAACCCATGTATGGACAGGGTGCCTGCAGGTACCATGCGCCTTTTAGGGAGACAGGAAATGTTGCCCCTTCTCTGAACTATTGTCCCTACCAGCTCCCGGTCCCTGGTCCTGCCCTCTCCCTCCCTCATGCCCTCCACAGGCATCAGGTGCCTCCTGCCTCCTGGGAGCTCCTGGGCCCACCAATGCTCTGTCCCCTGTGCAGGCGGGTGGCATGAGGACTGTGCTGTGCGGGTGGTGGGAGTGTGGGGTGGTCCTGATGCTCTATGTCCCCCACACAGGCACCATGACTCCCGTGAGGACCCAGCACTGCTTGGCAGGTCAGACATACGCGGTGCCCCTGATCCAGCCGGACCTGCGGCGGGAGGAGGCCATCCAGCAGGTGGCAGACGCCCTGCAGTACCTCCAGAAGGTCTCCGCAGACATCTTTAGCAGGTAGGTGCTGCCCCCACCCCTACCTGATCAGAGGGCCGGCCCCTGTCCCGGCAGTCCTCTCTCCAGTCCCAGGAACACACCCTCTGGGAGCAGCCCCTTTGGTGGTTCTTGGTCCTGGGGGCCCCAGCTGGCTTCCCTGTGCAGGAGGGGTCCAAGGCAGGAGCCCAGCGCGGAAGGTTTTCTCCTCGGTGCCCGGGAGCTCACTGCCTACTGCCCCCTTGGCCTCTGGCTTCCAGTGGGTCCCTGGGGCCCCAGTGGTGCCTCTGCTCTCCCAGCTGGTGGTCGTCCTCCCACCGCGGGCCCTGTTCCTTCACTCACCCCTGCAGCCAGCAAGCGTTTGCCCAGCGCTGCTGCGTGCGGGGCGCTGCGCTGTTCCCCACAGATGCAGCGGTGCACACGGCAGCGTCCCTGTCCTGCTAGAGGACACGCCTGGCAGGAGAGACAGACTTAACCACTCGCATGCTCAGTTATTTAATTACAATTGTGAAGACCTATTTATTACGTTTTTGTGATTACTAGTATTTATGTAGCATTAAGTATGCACCACCATAGACCTGAGTGTGTTAACTCATTTATGCTTACTACACTCTATAGAATGGTCCTGTTGTTACCTCCAATGTACAGATGAGGAAACTGAGGCACAGAGAGACTGAGAGACTTGGCCACGTGGCAGAGCCAGAGTTCAGACCAGGTTGTGGCCCAGTTTCTGTAGGGTTGTTGTCATCTCTCTGTGAAGGGGACATGTGCTGTGGGACTTGTGACGGGGGCCTGGCTTGGTCTGGGGGGGAATCAGGGGACCTGTGTGTGAGCAAGTGGGTAGGTTGGGAAGAACATTCCAGAAAGAAAGGGCATGGGCTAACAGCCAGAGGTGGGAAGGACCTGGAAGGAGCCGGCGGGCCTGGAGCAAGGAGAGGCAGGTGGGGCCACGGGGCCTCAGGGCCACTGGCGGTTCTGAGCTGGACAGCTGCGGCTGCACGTGTCTCCAGCTCCGCCCAGCACGGCCCGTGTTTGCTGAGCAGGAGTGAGCGGCTGGTGTTTGCCGTTCCCGTGCCGGTCCCCGGTTGTGCTGGGTGAGCAGGTCCTGTCCCTGTCTGGCCAGGAGGAGCCTGAAAGGAAGCTGGGTCTCCTTCCCGGGGGCCACCCTGTGCCTCCCACGGGGCCTTTCCTCCCGTCCAGTGTGAGTGTGTGACTCAGGGTCCCCTCAGGGTCTAAGTCACCCCCACCGGTTGGATGCCAGACCTGGAGTCCCCTTCCTCCCACACATCTCTTGCACCGGCTGCATGTCCAACTGTCCTGGAGCTTCCCCTGGGGCAGGGGGGTCACTGCCTCCAGGTGGACACGGTAACCAAGGGGCAGCAACTGAGTGGCCAGGGCTCACTCTGGAGCAGAACGTCCGGCTCCTATCGGCTCCTTGCAGGCTCTGTACTTGGGGAAGTTCTTTTTTTTTTTTTTTTTTTTTTTTTTCTTTTTTTTTTTTTCTAGTACTGGGGCATGGAAGTTGGGGCAGCTCTTAACCCCACTAAGCCTCGATGCTGTCATCTGCCGATGTCCCCAGCAGAAGCTGCAACTTCCGGTGTGCTTAGCTCACGCCGCAGCCCGAGGATGCGCCGAGGAGGACTGGCGCTCTTCCAGCAACAATCACTCGTCAGCTCGTTGCTGCCTCATCACCACTGACGAACCTGTATGCCAGGGTGCGCAGGCAACAGGACTGGGACTTGGAGGCTGCCTGGCTTAGTGGGACCCCAGGGCTACAAGACACTGTCAGAGAGCAGCGAGGCTTGGGAGCCCCGAGCTGACTATGGGTTGCTCAGTCTGGAACCCAGCGTCACCATGCCCAAGGCAGTGGAAGATATAGAGGGTGACACGACATAGGACACAGGATGCTTGGCCTCCCCCACCCTGCCCCCTGTAGACAGAACCTTGTGTCCTCCTGCCCCCTGCTGTGCTGTCCACATAAGACCCATGGATGCTGGGGCACGACAGAGCGCTCTGATGTCCCCCTGTCCATGCCACAAGAGAGAGCAGCTGACAGATGTGGGAGAGCGAGGACGACTACACCAGCGCCTCCTCTCTAGGCCAGGGCCCCACTGAGCCCCGTAGCCCACCCAGATCCGTGGGGTGTGCACGACGACCTGCTGGCAGCCCCTGTGGGTCACTACTCACATGGCCCACCATAACCTGGCCAGAGAACTACTTCTATGTGCCAGACCTGGTAAGGTGCCGAATCGACGTCCTCCCTACCTGCCCGTCATCGCGGATGACTCACTGCGAGTGTGACCGGGCCCTGGATTGCCCCTCCGCCCCCGGCTACCATTCACGAACTGCCCACTTCCCACGAGGAGCTGAGCCTTCAAGCCAGGAGCTTTCCCGTTTGGCACTTTCTCCTTTCTCCTCGAACTCACACTTTCTCACCTTCCCCTTCCAGACCTAAGGAAGGGTGCTAACCAACCCCCAGCAACGCCTCCCCAGCTCCTGTCAGCATAGTCAGCGCCCCCCAGCCACAGACCGATGCCCTGTGCAGGCAAAGGTCCCAGGAAGAATCGACAGCTGGCAGCAGCTGTCCCCTTCAGTCGAAGCAGTGCAGGGGGCGCTCTTTCTGGGTGCCTCTGTTCTCATTTAGGATTCCTGGAGGAGCTTCTGTAGGTGTGTGCAAGTGGCATCATCCACCTAGGATTTCAGAAATGTCCTCATCTCAAATATCTATCGTTCATGGGTTCATAAAAATAGTGGGTTTTCAAACTCTAAGCTCTGGAATTCTGACCTCCAGAACTGTGGCTCTGGTACCCCCCCGTCCCCAGTAAAACAATGGAAGAAAGGGTCTGCTAAAAAAAATAATTGAAACTACAGCCACAAAACATTCATGTCCCTGAAATTAGCAAATTTCAGTTTAAGTTCG